TCAGGAGCTCAACGGCCGGAACAGCGAAGGGTATCAACGATGACTCCCTGCTGTGCATCGCAGGCGCCTCGGAAATTCCGTATGCGGCATGCCGTACGGCCTGGACGAAAAAGCAGACGCTATTGTACGCTCGCTGCCAATGTGCATACGAACCCGGCGCCGTTACTGCTGTTCCAAGAACAACGCCTCCGTTGGGTGAAGGATTGCATGAACGCTACAGACCAAACCCCATGCTGTTTGAAATTACCGCGTTGCCGAGGCTCGAAGCGGTGCCTGTCGGCACTCTTGGGTGTATGTGTGTGAGTATTGAGCTATGTAGCATCGGCCGCGCTAGCCGGCCCATCGATGAACAGATGTCAGTTTCAGCGGCGAAATCAAGGGATGTGTCGTGTGTGAGGTCTTTTGGTTTCACCCACCGGTCTACACCTTGGTGTACGTTTGTCGCACCAGTCAGGGCCACGCATGAAGAAGGTAAAGATCAGAGTCTGCTGCCGACAAAAAACAAGAGAGTGTACACGATAAATGTCACTCCAGCCAAAACGTGTGCGCGCGCAGTTACCTTTTTGACGGGGGAGCTGGATAGAGACGACGCGTGGGCCAACGGTTGCAGCCCTTTCCTCTTGCAGACTCTCTTGTAGAGAGCATCCGCTTCAGCCGCCCCGCACACCCCGTGCGCCAGACACCAGTCCTGCGCCATGTGACTTTTCGGCCCACCCGGGCATTAGGAAGCGAACGGCGAAGGCGGTGAGTGGGGCAGTCAAGGGAGGGAGAGACAATCCAGACAGTCAAAGACCGTCCGTGAGGTAGTTAAGCAATCAACGGCGACACATGACAAGCAAGAAAAAAAAATGACCTACTGTAGTATTGATTCATGGGGGTTGTTACAACGCGAAACTCAACATTGCTTCTGTTCGATGCCTAGCGCCCGCTTTCCCGCGTTTTTTTTCACAGCCCGGAACGATGATGCTTGAGTTCAACCACTGCCGCCACAGGCAACAAAATCTGATACAAACGCCCGCTATTGACGGCAAATATCCAGTGCCACATAAACATATAGAGAGAGGCATATAAAACACAACACACACGCACACACACCACGGAAGTCCGCGGACTAGAAAGAAATTCGCATATATTTCAAAAAGACGGGAGAATCGTCATTTAGCCAGCCGGTGAGCGCGATCGATGCCTGTAAAGAAACAAATGCAAAACATGCATGCCCACCTACCTCTCTGGCTTTTGTTTCAGCAGGGTCTCGTAGAAACAGCGATCCGCCTGACCCTGCCAGGCCGCCGCGGTGACGTCACAAGCCATCCAATCCAACAGCAGCACAAGAAGAGAAGAGACGAGACGAGGCATCAGCACAAACATCACGAGGCATAAAGCGTTCATTAGGACGTCCATACGGAGAGGGCACACCCCTGAAGCCTTCCACGGACACCAGTAACAGTACCGTAGCAAAGCTCGCTTCTCTACAAAACTACCTCGAGAAGCAGGTAGCGCCGCAACACCTGATGATTTCGTGGTACTGCTGTAGAGTAGTCGTCGGCCCTCCATAGGACTTAACGCGAACAAGAACCCAACCTGCACCTACCAGGAATAACACCGCTGGAGGGGATACACTTGGGTGTGCTACATAGAATACGGACGGTGTGGAAACTCTACAAAGGACTGCCGGAGGCGAAACGTAACCGGAGACTAAGAGGGTGGTTACTAAACAGACGCCGGTTCCCTCACCGGAGGAGGCGTGGCGATCTTCTGCCCCGCCTTGCGCTTCTCCTTGAGAACGGATTCTTCTCGTTCACCTTTTTCGCTCTGCGTCGTTGCATGGAACACGGCGAGGCACAAAGCGCGCGCGCGCGGGGGGGGGGGGGGGTACTCCTAAGCGTGCATGCCGTAATCCCCAGAACATTGGCCTCCCATCCCCCCAAAACCGGGAAGGAACACGCCGGGGTTTCCCCGGAACAGGGTCTCACATCACCAAACGCGAAACGCCGTGGGGGATTTCGGGAGGCGCATGAAGGGTGGGCTGCATCCTGCTAAGGGTGTTCGGCATCTTGTGCTTACTCCCTTGGGTACGGATGACAGCTGCCTATGACTTAATTTAATTTTGGGGGGTTCCCTTCCCGAAACAGTTATAAGCACTGTGTAGCTGCCTCGAGGATGCTTGACCCATTTAAGAAAACGTGGTGCGATTATCCCCCTTGTGCGGAGTGAGGGTTCTCCACCCCGCCCAACATGATCTAATCGACCACCATTATGGTTACCGCCAAAAAAAAAAAAGAAGTAAAAAAAAGCGGTAACCTGGGTGGCGAG